TGACAGAAGGGCATCATGGCATTCATATTCTAGAATTTGGGGATATATCACAAGGTTGTTAATATGTTTCTCTGTGATCTTTCATGGTATTTTTGTCGCACATTTTCGATAATCTTAGTTTCTCAGGGTACTTTGTTGTTGTTGTTGTCGCTGGTGTTGTAAGTTGTTGGTAGTAGTAGTATGTTGTTCGTGGGGCAGCATAAAATTATTATTTTTTTTTTTTTACCTACTAGGTTGTAATAGTGCTGGGGCTCACTTTAATCCACTGAACAAAAGCCATGGAGGACCAGAAGATGAAGACAGGTAAGGAAAAAAGTAGGACATGTATATACAATTTACTTGGTGACAGCAGCCTTAAATTAACTTATAAGTATACATTCAGTTATTAGTGGAAAGAATGCAGGAATGGTACTGTGGTAATAGAGCCCTCAGCACTCTTAAGGGAAGTTCAGTCATAGCATTTTCAGTTATTTTGGGCATGTAAAATATTATCTTTAGACTGAAGGAAACCTGAAAATATTAGTTTACTGTTGATAGAAAATCACCAACAAGATAATATTAAACCATAAGGGAACAAGGATGGTTAAGGGTGGAGAAGATTGACATGAATTACAATGGAAAAACTTGAAAAATTTTGGCTAGACTTTTCAAGATACAAAACGATGGCATAGCTCCTCAAAATGTGGCCCAGATTCAAATCCTGGACCTAGTCAGTCATTTGTAGGTTGAGCTGTTTTGGCTCTCATCCTTGCTCGGAGGGTTTCTGGTTTTACAATTTCCTCAAAACTCAACACTCCAAATTCTAATTCAATCAGGAAACTTATTATTTACATTTTACAAAAATTATCAATTTATATTAAAATTTTTTTACAATTATTTCATTATTTTTTTCATAATTTATGTTGAATAAAAACAATTTTTGTGCAGTTACAGTCAAACCTCCCGCAAGTGACCACCCAAAATGTCAAGCCTAGATGGTCGCTTACGTGAGGTGGTCACTTACGAGAGCTTAGACCATGTTGCCTCAAAATTTTGTCCCATACATGGTAACTGCAGAGACTTACCCCATGTTTTTAATGCTTTTTTTCTGGTGAAAAGTGAATTTTGAGAAAAAATCCAGTATTTCCTATTGAGAAATTTCCATCTCTTGTACTATCCAGGAATGCGATAAGGTTACAACCACACCTTATTGTCCAATTTCTGCTCTATTATCTGTCAAGTGGTCGCTTACGGGAGGTTATTATAAAAACAAAGGAGAATTTCAAACTTTTAGCTCTAAAAGTGGCCGTGGTCGCTTACGAGAGGTGGTTGCCTACAAGAGGCTCAAAATGTAGTTATTTTACTTGGAAACTTTTGGTATTTTGGAAAACTGGTTACTGGGGAGAGGTGGCTGCTTATGAGAGGTGGTCGCAACCAGAAGTTTGACTGTACATTTCAACCCCTATTAAACGGCCACCCTTGGGGAAATGGATAGTGGCCGCAAAGGGGCTGGCTGCCTGATAGGGGTGGCCATTTAATAGGTGGCCGCTTAATAGGGGTTCGAATCTATTTATAATTCATTTTACACTAACTGTCATGGGTAAGTAAGTTATTTATTTAAATTCATTTTGTTTTTTTTTATAATAGACATGCAGGAGACCTTGGGAACATTGAAGCTGACAGTCAAGGCCAGGCAGAAGTGAACATTACTGATAACATTGTTTCACTAACAGGGGAACACTCAGTAATAGGTCGCACATTAGAGGTCAGTATTTTCCTCTTGAAATTTATTGTTAAGCAGTCTGTA